AATATCTGTTCAGAAGACGATTTGAGATCTAGAATTTTCGGAACATTTGTTGTTAAATTTCTTGCTTGCCCGCCTCTCCTAGGATTTTCGAACCCCCCAAAAATGGTATAATTGCCCATTTTTAACGGATTTTTACCCTAAAAAGGTCACCTAGAATTTTCGGGAGCCTTTTTTCTGGCTGAAATTTTCGAAAAGGTAAGTTTTGATCCCTATAATTTTCGGATCACTAGACTTTCAGCTAGGAAATCCGAACAGATAAAAAATTTTTAGGGGATAAAAATATGGCTATATCTACCGTTAAAATACTGAAATACGTTCAACAATGCTATGTTTAAGTGGTTTTGAACTATATTCTCGTTGGGTGCCCCTGATTAAAGACTAAACTCGAAATGATCTCAAGATATCACGAAGTAGTCCGGTGTCATTTCGTGAAATTGCCGAAACAAGCCGAAAAGTCACAAACTTGCGCGCCCAATCTTGTCCCGAAATGCAATCGGCTAATCCCTCAACTTAGAGTCTCCTCTGATCTGACGGGTCACACAGGTGAGTCGGTTCAAACCCCGGGAAGGCCAGTTAAAGAATAATTATAAATTAAAGATCGAAGTGATCTCGAGATATCTCGGACCAAGTCGGCTCTCACTTCGTCAAATAGCCGAATAAAACCGAACACCTACAGACTTTGCGTGCCCAATCTTGTCCCAAAAATGTTAACTTTCGTACATTTCTGAGCGTCGCGAATCCTTTACTTCGCGCTCGCCGAAGTAAAAAGCTGGATGATTTGGTGCAAGACATTTTGTATTGCTAAGATTGCGAGTAATGTCAAGAACCCATGACATGTGCATGACAAGAATAATAATATTATACTTTTGGTTTCTGGGGAAAGCGGCAAGTACAACAATCAATATAATTTCCAGGGGAAAGTTTGATTCAGATAAGAACCTTTTTACTAATTGTCATTTAAAAGGACTTTTTCTCAGCTAAGAAGGACTTTACGGGAAACCAATGCTCGTTAAAAAGGGCAAAGCTGACCATTTGCTGCATGCTAATAAGGCAACGTTTTAATAATGATATGTGATATCTTCCACTTCCACAAAATGGTGTTTAAGCAGTTTTGGAGCTAAAAGGTTGAAACCTAGTTGACAAAGTGTTGAAAGAAATCTAAACGTTGTTTAAATTTTATTCGACAATTGTGTCATCATCTTTGTTCTTGAGGATGTTTGTGTTGAAGCATGAGGAGTTATCTCACCATTTGGTTAAATGTTCATGTTAAACAAACATTGTTCTAAATGAGAAAGACACATTTTATTTCTCATTTATTATTTACCAGGATAATTAAATGAACACCCTGACCTTGCAAAGGTGATCACATGTTGAAACCAGAACTGAATTTAACAAAATGGTAAACCGTAAACCTGCTGTGAAGTTGTGAACATAATTGCAATTATCTTTTACTAAATGGTTAGTATGAGGAGATGGACTAGTACTGATTTGTGTGACACCATTTTTTTGGAATAGAACATGTTTGGCCTAAATAAAATAATTGTTCTAGTATCTTAACAAGCAACACCATCAAAAGAGATCGAAAAAAACAGAAACAAACAAACAAACAATATTGTTTTCATGGGATGACCATGTCAACCTGAGAGGGGAAAGGGATAAAGGGATAAAAAATTATTGCCCAAACTACTCCCCTCCACCCCGCAAAGTAAACGTAAATTTAAAAAAAAATCAACGTATAATATGTTTTCTAATTCACTCCCTCTAATTCTATCAATAGAAATGTCGGTGTACTTTTTGGTTTGCAACCACCTGACCAGGTGACCATTATTGGTGATCAAAACAATAAAAAAGATTTTTTTTCGCAGAATTTGTTTGAAAGTAGGGTTTAGTTCCCAGAAGAGTGAAATGCTTAAATTGGTCTTGACGACCAACACTGCCTCAATGACATCACACTCAAACCAGCATCAGCACAAAATTGAATACAGCAAACGATTGGGGAAAATTTGGCTTCAAGTAGTATTATACTTTTTGCAAGGGAGGTCAAGTTCAATGATAAATGATGTACAGTGGGTGTATTAGTTCGTATTATTGTGGTCATTGATAGGATAGTTTTGGTCAAGCTTTTAAAAAAGGTTTAAACTTAAAGCGAGTAAAAATAATGGAGCTCTGAAATGTTGTTAGTGTATCTTTTTATTGTTCATTCAAAGTATTTGTCTGTTTCTGATTGGCTTAAATCCCCATGCAGCTATCAGACTAGGGGGGCTCGATCTGCACAATTCTTCATAAACAGTGACTCCAAACTGAGTGCAAATACAAAGATGTGAAACTTAATATAACTTTCACTCTTCATGAAACAAAGGTGCTAATTAAGAAAAAATGAGTCAGGAAAGAACTTTTTTTCGTCATATTCAATTTATGAAAGTGAAGTTGTGTATTCCTAGTAAATGATTTTCATTTCAAGGAAGGAAGGAGGGTTTTTGACCACAAGAATAACAACTTAAAGAATCAAATAACAACTTAAAAAAGGGAGCATCTTAGTCAGAGGAAAAGAAAACTTAAGCTCAAATTTGGTGGAGAAAAATGACAAAGATGAAAGGAGACATGAAGTTTCCCCAATTCAAGTGGCTAAATCTCCAGCCCCGCTGTAAGAGTAACTTCATGCACTGGCATACACCCAATGCAGAACGAAAAGAGACTGGGAGCGATCAACTTGAAAACGAGGCTAGTTGGGCCTGGTAAATAAGAATGGCCGCCTGATGTGAAGGGCGCCAGTTTTTGAAAATGCCGCAAAATTGTTGTGTTCCAAACTGTACCAAAAAGAAATACAGAACCGAAAACGGGGAGAAAATTTCTTACTTGAAGTTTCCAGACGACGTTATCCTCAAAAAACGTTGGCTCCATGCCATTCGTCGAGACGAAGGAAAAGCGTTTAGAGTCAACCAAAACACGAAGATCTGTTCTCGTCATTTTAAGCCCGAGGACTTGGTTAAAGCTATTGGAGGTCAGCGTGTTTATGTAAAGGCAGGGGTAATTCCATCTCGATTTTCGTGGTCCAAAGGTTCTCCGAAAAAGCGAGCACCTCCTAAATGTCGCAATCTTTCGTCTACAACAGAGTGTTCAAACAAGGAGTTGCAATCATCTCAAAGTCAAACAACTGCAGATGCAGCTGAAGCAACTTCTGAAACCTGTACTTCATCAGCAGCTTTTAGTTATCATGATGTGGAAAACAGCTTAAGTTCGTGTGAAGATCAAACAGAAGAAGTTAAAAAACTTGAAGGAATTCGAGGTTTTGAACTTGAAAATGCGAAGTTAAAGGCTGAAATAGAGGTTTTAAAACGCCAGAGGAGCCTTAAAGATTCCCGCCTTTTTCAGATACGCAATTTTACTACCGACGAGGACATTGCCTTTTATACGGGATTTCCTAATTTAGCAACATTTAATGCTGTGTTTGAATTTTTAAATACTGGATCGAAAGGGGAAAACATTAGGTACTGTTCATCAAAAGAAAGAACTGTCCAAAAGGAGTTTTACGATAGTGGAAACGAGGAACCAGAGGGATGTACTAGCATAGGTAGACGAAGAAGCTTAGAACCCAGAGAGGAGTTCTTCCTTGTTCTTTGCAGACTGAGAAGGGGATTTGCAGAAAAACATCTAGCTCACTTGTTTGGTATTTCGCAGTCGACAGTAAGCAGAACATTCCTTTCTTGGATAAATTACATGTATTTAAAATTTGGTCAAGTATCTATATGGCCTAATAGGGAGGTTATAAGAGCTACAATGCCTGACAGCTTTAAAGAGAAATACTCTTGCACCCGTGTAATAATCGATTGTACAGAAATTAGATGCCAAATGCCTTCCAGCCTTCTGTTGAATTCCAAATTGTTCAGCTCCTATAAGAACCATGTAACTCTAAAAGGCTTAGTTGGAATTGCTCCCAGTGGAGCTATAACTTTTATCAGTCAGCTATATAGTGGAAGCATTTCCGATCGCGAAATTGTTGAACGAAGTGGTTTCCTGAAGTTAGAATTTGACAATGGTGACACCGTGATGGCCGATAAAGGTTTTACAATTGAAGACCTACTCCCACTGGGTGTAACCCTAAACATTCCCCCCTTTTTAGGGTCTAATAGCCAAATGACAGCAGAAGATGTTATCAAGACTCAAGAAATTGCTTCTGTTAGAATACACGTTGAACGGGCCATCAATAAAATCAAGAATTTTCACTTATGGGATAGTGTTGTACCCCTCAGTTTGTTTGGGGTAGTAAACCAAATGTGGAGTGTCTGTGCCTTTTTATGTAACATTCAGGACCCTCTTATTTCCACTTAACACTGAGTTAGGCAGAGCTCTGAGGCACACTACAGAATTTCAGTCAATTTAATAAATGTAAACCTGCTTATCCACCTCAGGTCAAATATTCTCTAAACCAACTAAAACTAAGAATGTGATTCGCTTGCTTTCAGTCCCAAACACTTAAAAGATGTCAGCTTTTACATGTAGTTCTAAAGATCTTAAAATCAAAGAATAAAGAAAGCTATCTTATTATACAGACCATGTTGGTTGATACTCTGTTTTAAACATATCAAGTTAGGTATGAGACAAAATTTCTCTTTACTCGTGCCAAGATTAGATTAGGGTAGTTAACCCTTCTAATGGTTACTGAACTCTACAGAAGCTGGTGCTATGAAATGTTCAAAATAGCTCTCCTTTAGGCCTTCATTCAATACGTTCCAGAATTGAGGATCAGATGTGATCCTCTCTATACTCATGCCTTTGTTAGTATAGATAACAAAGTCACACCAACTTGCTCCTGTAATACCTAGTTGACCCTGTATCTGGAAGTAGTACTGATGCCCCCTTTTCAGCCTTGGCTTTCCATTTACATTTTCTGCAAAGAAACGTTCATCGGCACATGTTTCTAAAGGACTCACATGAAATTTAGAGTAGGGACATTTAACCTCTACCAGCCCAAAAGGCTTGCTACAGCCTCGGTCAATGACCTAGCCATCTGGTGATGCTGCTAAAAAGGGAGAGGCCATACTGACAACAAGGCCACTTTTGAACACTGAAACTGGGTTCCTCGTTGAAAACATATATTTTTCATATTCTTTTAAGGCTACAGGCTCATAGGTTTTCCCATGTGCAGTTTGTTTGGCAGTGAATGGTTTGGGGTGAAGCAGGTTATTTACTAGAGTGTCATGATTCCTTTGCCTTTTTACAATTGTGTGGAAATTGTAAAAATTTGCTGTATACCGAAATTTCCTTTCAGCCTGCCATTCCTGTGAAGCTGCTTGTTCACTTGTTTTCTTCTCTATGGTATTATTAAAGCTTTGCCTCATCAACAATCAAATGATCCAGGAGTGCTTCCTGGTTGCGGCTTAAATCATCTGGCTTTTTATACTGCTCAGATTGTTGCAAAGGAAATGGAGGATATACAGAAATAACATTTTGTTCATCATTAGAGTCCACTCTAGGCACTGAGTCAATATTACAGAAAACTTGAAAATTAGACTCTGTGAACTGTAACTGGTAACTTGCATATGAGCCACTTGGACATTTTCCAAATTTTGTTTCCTGTAAGTTGGTACCACCAGTAGACATAATTTGAGACAAGGCAAACTTAGGGTTGATCTCTTGAAGCTTGTTTTTTAACAAAGCTTCATCAGATGCCTGTGTACCCAAATTTTTCCTAGCTTCATGCAACAAGCACCTTACTCCACTATCAGGGTTATACTCTGTGTCTATATTCGACTTTTTGACCTCAAGTTCCATGACAGGTTGGGGCTTGATTTTATCTCCTCTTACAGGCCTGTGCCATAGTTGTAAACTTGAAGTGCATGCCTTAACTTGTGTCATATCAGATTCATTTTCCAAGTCCTTAATATCTTGACAACAATACAAGCTGAACTTACAGAGTTTCATCATAACAGCAAGCACATGATTGCAAAAACCAACAGATCCTGCTACACATGTACACGAAGCATATTTAACAACTCCACTCACTAAACAAAGTGCAACTTGTAATTTGTGGGGTGGCTCATTTTTTTTAAAGCTATGGTAACACAAGCATTTGAAATAGAAATATTGGTCATCACTTGCGCAAGTTAAGTCTTTCAGGTATTCATCATCAAGAAATGTTTTTGCCTTTTTCATGCTTGTTGGAACAGCATGGTTCTGTTTATTTCTGTCAAAGTTTTTTCCAGATTTAGAAATATGTAAATCCATCTCTGCCCTTGTGAATAATGGCATTCGTTGCAAACTTGTAGACTATCCGGCTGATGGAAATTTAACAGTACTTTCCTCAGGCATCGCATCACTTTGAGCGAGTTGTTCTTGTGTCGCCTTTCGACGCGTGTATATCAGATTTTTATCGGGATCCACAACATCTTTATCACGATCAGACGCAACATATTCAAGAACTCTTCAAAATGAAAAGTAGAAAAACAATACTATTAATCATTACATTTTTAAAAACATTTCATCGAGAAAATAACTCCTAAATCTTTTGATTTCCATTTACAATATCAAAGTCTCTTTTAATTCTAATATATAGATTTAGCCAGGGCTAAAAGCGAGGCTCCCATTAATAAGTTTATAATTTAAATCAAACAATAAACTTGTATTCCACAATTCAGTTAACTTTAGGGCACATTCGTGTGACTTTTCAGGGAAAGGCTAAGTGATTTTAGACAAAAATAATTTGCAAACAATCCCAGAGTGAACCAAATCTTACATCGAGTTGATGGCCTCATATGTACACCCAAAAACTGGCACTCGTCTTCGATCACATTTTTAAAGAGCCATAATGGCTCTTGATCACCGTAGGTTAATTAGGCCTGGAAAAAAGTTCCGGCCGAATTTTCTGCGTTCGACAAGTTTACTTTACAAAATATTGCCAACAAATCTGGGTTCGTGTAAACCAACCTTATATATCATTTATACGTCACATCTGAGGTGAAACGGTACTATGAGGCACTTTTTTATCATACAGACCTCGGACAACAAAATGCAGTATTTGACAGTTTTGCAATACAAATTGCTATCATTCAATATTCAGGACGATCAAAGCACGCGTGGGCTTTAGCTAAACCGTTAAAAAAATTTCCAAAATCACCTATACGGCCAGCCGGTTCTGACTTTTGCAGTGCTAGCTGTGGCGAGTGTTTGAAAGAACATTAACACAGTTAAGCTCCAATATAATAAAGAATTTATTATGTTTATTTTTTATTTTAAAATGGTTTAACGCGCGGCATTTTGAGTACTCTGGGAAGCGTTGTTCACTGAACGACTGAAAACAATCGGCACAGCGATTAAAATTACAAGAGAGACTACTAATAATCAATAAAAGAAATAAAATTCGGTGAAACATAAACAGAGACGACAATTTTCATTCAGGAAGACAAGTATTAAAGTGTCTCTAAAAATCCTGAGTCTTCGAGCTTAAAGCTGAAGTTTTGTTTTAAGCCGGCTTCCCGGTGTTTGCTTTTTTCAAAGACAAACTCGAGGCAAGAAAATCGCTCAAAGCTTCTTTTACAGCCAGAATTATAACTAAAAATTCTTTGGAACGTGTTCTTTCTATTTGCGGTGAGAAAAAAGATCTGTAAGCTTATATAAACCTGATACTCGGTCAGATCATTGTCTCAAATCTTACAAACGTGCGTAAACAAAATAGCCGCATAAACTACGCTCGACTTCATTAAATTAGAAATAAAAAACATAACATTTTTTAGCCCCGCTAAAAAGTATCACGCACCACTGACAAATACTGTACTTACCTTTTCGCCAATTGTGCCTTTTTTTTAACCCCTTTGCTGGATCGCCACGACAGTTTAACCAAAAGCGAAGTTCATCTGTTTTAAGAGCAGTCGCATTTCTTCCCTGAAGCGATGCTCCGGGGATATCTTCCTCCGTAAGACTCTGAGAAAGACGGCTACTTACAGAGCCATGAGCGGCTATATTTCTAACACGAGTAAACAAGGCCCAACTAGCCTCGTTTTCAAGTTGATCGCTCCCAGTCTCTTTTCGTTCTGCATAGGGTGTATGGATGACCCTATCATAAGCCGCGTATTCAACCAAGTCTTTTCACCCCAATTGAAGAACTGAGTCAAGAATGACGAAAATTAACATTTATTAGATTGAAAGTGTACGTGTTAAACTTGTACAGGAAATGCTTTCAGATATGGAATTCATAAAGCCGTATCCGCTCAAGGTTTTTTTGGTTGTTTACGTTGTATCTTCTTTGACCCGTAAAAACAAATCTGAACATAAGAAGGCTGATGGAATGTGAATTGTAACTGTTTCTTCCTTTTAATAGTAATTTTAATTAACAATGTTAACTGAGCCTGAGGTGAATAATTGTTTTTAGTATATTCACACGAAGTGATCTCAACAGATTCAGAAAGGAAACCATTAAAAAACGATTAGTTTGATTGCTGGGTGAATTCATGCGTAAACACGAAGCCGTAAACAGTGGATGCGCAAAAGTTAGATCTTTACAATATCTTCAAACATGGCAATGATAGTTTTAATCCTTTTTTATCGATTTTTTTAAGCTTTAGCATCAACGGTTTAAAAGAAAACGCAGAAAATTTAAATTACTACCCAATTCTGAGGAGAAAAGTAGAGCTTTATTTGTTTCTGTCAACTCACCGTGAATGAGAAAGTTTTCTTTGTCGCTTCTTGAAAATACTGTCAACAGCGGCTATGATCAAGGTGAGCGTTGTTTATCTCCAAAGTTCTTTGCCTTGTTAACTTGCTGGCACGTACAATTTTCGAAAATATTTGCCTTCCTCTTTTCTCCATAAACTAACTTCTATTTATAGGCAAAATTGGTCCTGCGAAAAAATCCCAAAATCGCAAAACAGTGACAAAGCGACCTCGTTTTCCTCTGTAGTGGTAAACATAGCTTCGAGCGTACAAAAAGTCAGCTACAGTAAACCACTTCACAATAAATCACGCTGTTTAAACACCATGAAGTCTTTTCTTGCCTTTTCTTGCACTTGGATATTCGTGTATTTTCAAAAGGCTTTACTATGAAACCTTAGCAAAACACCCAGTTCACGACAGCGATTTTGTTCTGCTTTATATTCACCGCCTAGTGCGGTACATAGTCCGAGATAGCTAACCAATCAGATTACTTGAATTACCAAGATCACTGAGTGTCTTTAGGCAGAAATAAAGAATTAATTCAAAATGATAGCGGTTAAATCACAGCTTGTGATAATAATAATTATAATGATAATAATAACAATTTATTCATATTGCGCTTATGTATCGGTCAAATCGTAGCTTCAACATCCCCTCCCCCCTCCCCCTCCCCCTCGGGCATACCCCAGGCATTTGGCATCTTTGCTGTCCCGGGGTAGAGGGAATTTCATTATCAGAGTCTTCCAGGGGGAATTTGATCCCCATGCGTACAGGGTGGGGAATTTTAACCGTAGCCTCGATTTCATGTGAAATCCCTGAGCGCTTTGCGTTTACCGCTTTGCACGTGGGGAGCTATCATGGCAGACGCGGTGTTAGAGTATTTTCATGGAAAAGATTGTGCCTTTGTGGCCAATTGGTTACGAGGAAAGGGCTTAAGCAAGCTTTGTGCTGTATTTAAAGGTATTCAAATTTTAATATTATTAATATTGGATTCAGGCTCTGGATATATGCATGAATGTATTAAGTTGTGTTAACTAAGCAATAGACCACACTTTCTATGGGTTTACCAGCGTGATAACCCACGCGGGATGTTGGGAGAACACGAGAAAAGCTTGTAAATTACGAGCCAAAGGCGAGTGATTTACAAGCTTTCCGAGTGTTCTCCCAACATCCCAAGTGGGTTATCACGCCGGTAAACCCATAGAAAGTGTGGTCTATTGCTTTTATAAAATAATTTTAAGTTTTCTATGAGTTTACGGGCACAATAAACCATAGGTTTTTAGCCAATCAGAGCGCGCGTACTATCTTAGTTATTTTATAAAATGCAATACAATACCTATACGGGCGATTCAATACAACAATAAAAAGCTCAACAGAGGTCAATAGACCTTGTCACGGTTTCGACGATATCTTGGCAAGTAGGCAAACGCGTGAGAAACTACAGTGTTTGTATGAGAATCTAATGAGGAATAATTTGCGTAAAACGGCTGTTCTGAAAAAAAAAAAATCAATTGTAAACTAAAGCTTCGCTCCTAAGGGTTTAGAAAAAATTGAGGGCGTTTAACATGAGCTAGAAGACCTAGAGCCACTTTTTGAAATTTTCTATACATTTGTCTTTAAGAAAAGTCCCGGGAAAAATTAAGTCTAAAGCAAGCCTCTGGAGAAATTTAAGCACAGGTACACCGTTCGCCCCCAATTTTTTTTTAGTGCAATCCTTTGCTTTGTAGCTTTAGCTTACAATTGATATTTTTTTCTAAACAGCCGTTTCACGGAAGTTACTCGACATTGGATTCTCATACAAACACTGTAATTTCTCACACTTTTTTCTACTCGTCAAGATGGCATCGAAAACCGTGACAAGTTCTATTACTTTAACCTGCCGCATGTATGTTTACTAATAAGGCGAGCAATGATTCGTGTCAGTGAAATGGTCATGAATATCGCATGTATGGAGTGCAGTAATCTCAGTAGGTGGGATTTATTTTTAGAATGCTTTGTATGTTGCATGACACACGAAGAAAAGCTGAGCATTCAGTGACCTTGTAGTAGCCTGCGGGCAAGCTCTCCTATTTGGGCAAGCGAGCAGCTATTCCAGCTGCTTTGCACGAGAGTTTTGTCCCCGGGGTGGGGGCATTTGATCACCTGAATGGACCCCAGTGTGGGGCATTTGAACGGCATTTTGGCTCGGGTAGGGGGGAATTTGAATAATAATTCTCAAAAAAGTCAAATGCCCAGGGAGTTGTCCGGAGGGGAATGTTGAAGCTTCCATTTGACCGATACCTTGTTCCTTAAGAGTCCACAAGTGCTTCACATTAATAAAAAATTGAAAATTGCCTAAAAAATAAAATAATATTAATTTAAATAAAATCTCAAAATCTTGGGACCAAGATTAATACAGTGAATATAGAAACCTCTATTAAGGTTGCTCGTCTTGATTTTTTTTAGGGGGGATACCTCCCAAGGTTGAGCATTAACTTTGTCGGCATGAAAAAAGATATGGGAAAAAGTTTACCACATCTGTATTATATAAAGATGAAAATTTCTTATGATCTGGGTTTTATTGCAATCGGAGTCGCCATGGCAACGTAACAATGCCATTACGTTTTTTATTTATCATTGTGTTTCTCTGTACCAGGGGTTTTTTCAAGAAATCGTTTAAGGGAGTTTGTGCCTGCCATAATTGCCTCAATTATGGCAGTTTGAACAAATTCTATGAGAGCGTTTTCGAAAATTTTTGAAACGAAGTGAAAACAATGCCAGTGAATAATGAGGACGCTCACTTGTAAACACAAAATAAGAAATTGCAATAAGAAATTTTTGTCTTTATAGCTGAGCTCCACGCGCACGCTTCGCACATGCGTGGGCAGAGCCCCATAGCTAAGTAAATCTACCCATCCCAGAAAATTTGGTAATCACGTGACCGTACAACCGACCGACCGACCGACCGCCCGCCCATCCACACCACGAGTAAACAATTTTTACTTTCACACTTTCTAGCTACTTTGTACCCTGGGTGCCAGAGACTTCATGCGCGGTTTCCAGTTTCAGTCAAGTCTTAAAAAGTGACCCGCGCGAAAAGCCTCTGGACCAGAGCACCATCCCTTTGATAGCGCCGAGCCAATTACAACCCCGTTTATACCAAAACATCTAGAATCTGGATGTTTTGCTGATTGGTTCCTTGGAGATATGGATTGTTTCAAATGCTCTGATTGGATTACAATCACAATAGGCGCGTGATCGGAACGCGGGTGGTTTGAAGGTGACAAGGATCAAATCCAAACAATCCAAGCACACATCACGTACGTTTTTACTGTTTGGAAGAGAATTAAAAATATCAGATGCCTGTATGAACCGATGATTTGGATAAGGCAATAGCCAAAGTCATTGGAACATTCGATGGTGTGGAGGAAATAAGTATGGAACTATGAGAGGGCATTGTGAATTACTATTTAAAGGAAAGACATATTGGTGGTCTTGCCGACCGGTTATGGAAAATCACTGCTATTCCAGTTAGTACCTGGCATATGCAGTGTGTAAAAAGGGGATCAGGAGGCAACACAAGACTTTCACCTCGTTCCAAAATGCTGCTTGTTCCAATGAACTTTTCTCCAGCGGGTAGATTATGACTGAGCAAATATGCATTATTTTTGCCGCTTGTTTTATACTGAGAGGTTGTGACACTCATATTGATTTTCTGCGGTTTATTTCTGGTCGGCATGATTTGCCCTCTGATGCGAGTCGAGAGCATTTTCTTTGACCTCTTTCGAAACTTAAACTTTTAGGTTGTTTAATTTTCTTCAATGTGCCCCCCGGATCTAAATAACTAAAAGCGATTTTCTTTTGTCCATGAATGTGAAGGCTTCCTGCAATGTTCGGTCACGCGGGGCCCTGCTGGTTAGTAGTTTTTGCAGGATGTACTTAAATTCTTCTTAGTGATTTACAAATCCAAATTTCGAAGAATGGATAGCAGCTTAAACTAAAGCTATCTGCTGACCATTATCACCTGACCGTATCGCGGGCTCAGGTGTTGACCCATCGAGGTCAAGTACTTTTTTGGAGTTATTCGCTGACAAGTTACTAGTTTTCAAATGATCGCAGGCGCAAGTGTATTTTTTTTAAAAATTCATATGAAATATGTTGCGTTTATGTCACTATGGCCCGGCACTATTAAGATTTTGCTTTCAAACTAACCTTAAATTCAGCCAGTTATTTAAAAATACAGGCGAGGAAGACCTTTCCTTACCAAGGTCACTCGTTGGTCACACTTTACGTCCAATTTTTATGCTCTGATTGGTAAAAATTTGACCGGTGAGTTCATG